TTTTTTAATGTGACCCCCAGTATACAAATTAAAGACGTAGTCCTACGTCAAAATAGAAGAGAATGTGAGAGGCAAGAGAAGTTTCCATGAGAAAAGCAACAGCGATATCGATTTTTCGGAGAGCTAAAGTAGCCAATAAATCGTTTCTTTTTCAGTGGATCCTTGTTGCCGATGATTTTTCACTTCTTCCATACACCTGAAAATGTACCGACGTATTCTGACGACATGTGCGAGCAGACGACTTCGAGTTATCTTACGAAGAGCACTCCTTATTTACCTTTAGCCTTTCGAATATCTTGAGCATTGATAGAGCCGAATGGTAAAAACGCAGGTCTAATAATCGTAACGTTCATGGTTCAGATCAAGTCTGCAATCTCTTACATATTTTTAAATATATTTATTACTTCCAACGATCAAGTAAATTTTATCCATCCATGCGAAAATGATCCGCAATTAAGAACCATGATATTCTTGTTTTTGTTCTTTATTTTTAGCTCTTCGTATTAAATCGTATTTGCGTTGACGGCATTGGCTCTTCACACACACGGAGTTTGGATTTTTCAATAGAGCGAAAGAGTAAGAAACATTCTGTCATTTTTCACGCAGAAAATGACAGTTGTTTATGGGATTTTCCATCCGTGTAAAGAGCTACAATAACGCCATCAACGTCAATTGCAAGTTTTCAGTGTCAAATGGGAGATGAAAACACATTTTCGTTGGTTTTCGGGGAGAGATATTTTTACATTATTCATAAGAAAGAGAGAGAGAGGATAATGAATTATAGGTGAAGAGAGATTAAACTATCATCGAAAAGTAGCTTGAGTGATGAAATGCTTATCATGCAGCTGAGCGAGAATATCGATTTCTGGTTCAAATGCAGGTGTTCATCTTTCCCGTTTGGGTAGAGATCCAGATAAGCCATGAAGCCTGTTATTTTTGAAGCTACCTCAAGATTTTGCCAATGCCCAGGGCAACCAAAGAATGCCGTTTTTGATGGCATAATAATTTACCAGTAATTTGACCATGATCACACGATTCAATGCAACGTCCTTCGATCCGGTAGTGCAGTCAGCATATAAACTGAGATTTCAGAACTTAGAAGGTGCATGCGATGAGTTGTCGTATGTCATAGACTGCCAGGTTCCTAAGAAGACTGCTAAATCTTCCAGGTACCCGCTATGGCAATCACGCGAATTGCGCCAAAACACTTCTGCTGAAAGAGCAGTATTCGCGTATCAACCATCGTTACCAAAAATTGAGTATTTCTGCTTTTCTGCTTACCAGGGCAACATTCAAGCATCCATGAAATCTAATCCGAAGTGCTTTTGAAACTATGTTCGAAGTCAGAGGAAAGAGGATGGATTACCATCGATGATGAAGTTGAATGACGCAGAAGCTTCGAGTGAACCGGAAATCTGGCAGCAGTTATCTACGAAAAACGCAGCTGTTTTTTTTCAAACGAGTCGCTGCAGCCACAACAGATTACCGAAACGTCCTAGCAAAAGATGTAGCTATATACTCCTTAGATGTTGATAACTCCAGGATTCTCGCAGGTGCTTCTAAATTAACCACACCACTACGCCACATATTTCAACTCTCACTACGTACCGGCACTTTTCCATCGCTATGGAAGACAGCTTATATGCACCTTGTCCACAAAAAGGGTGACGAAACAAACGTTGATAATTACCGGGGTATTTCTGCGCTGTGTGCAGTATCGAAATTATTCGAACTAGTGGTGTTAGACACTATTTTTTCCAATGCAAGCAGCTCATCTCCGAAGATCAGCATGGTGTTATGCCGAAATATCAACTACTTCACTACGTGCGTTGTTGACGAAAATGTCCGAATGACTGCAGACCGACGCTATCTACACAGATTTGTCATCCGCTTTCGACAAAATCAACCACGATATTGCTGTTGCTAAACTCTCCAGGTTTGGTTTCACCGGCTGTCTTCTTGATTGGTTCCAATCTTACTTGACCGCTCGGTGTCTTAACGTCAAGATTGGAGACTGCCTCTCTAACGCCTTCACTGTCTCTTCTGGATTTCCTCGAGACAGCCATCTGAGCCCGTTAATTTTCCTATTGTACCTGTATTTCATCAACAGTTTACTGGAAGGAACTCGTTTATCAAATGCAAACGATTTCAAAATATTTTGGAAAATAGCTAAACCATACGATGCGAATTTCTTGCAAAAGCAACTACATATGTACGCCGACTGGTGCGACTTGAACAGGATGGTGCTAAACTCAAATAAGTGCGCTGTAATTCCATTCACAAGTCATCAGAGTCCGCATATCTACGACTATTCTTTGTCGGGTGTTCGTATTAGTAGAGAGAGCCTGGTGAAAGATCTTGGGGTGATCTTGGATTCCAAAATGACATTCTGTATAAACGTCTCTTATATAACGGATAAAGCTTCGAGAAACCTAGGACTGATTTTCCCCAGATATAAAGATTTCAAAGACATGTACTGTTTGAAATCACTATACTGTGCACTCTTTCGATCGTTATTGGAATATGGATCATCGGTTCGGAATCCTTTCTACCAGAATGGATCCGACAGGATAGAAAGTGCTCAACGAAGGTTTCTTCGCTGGGCCCTGCGTTACCTTCCATGGCGCAATCGTTTTGAGCTACCACAGGTTAGAACACTTTCAGCGTCTTAAGAAATACAACCAGCGCTCTCTGTGTTTCTGATGTGCTCTGTGCGCATATTGACTGTCCCACTCTACTGGCACATCTCCCTCTTCAGGCAAAAGTGTGTAGTTTGAGAAATAACTCATTAATAAGATTGCCCTTTCGTCGTGCAAACTGTGGAATTCATGGTCTTCTGCGAGTTTTTAAAAGTGTAGCCTGTATTTTTGATTTGTTTTTCCCGTGAAACGTTAAAGAATACGATTTGTGTAATTTAGGCTAAAAAAGGTTGATAGTATTGCCAAATAAATAAAGGAATTATTAGGCTGGGTCTGGAATCGTTGAAAGCCCAATGTGCTTCGCTAAGATTGGAATGGTCGGAATGGTTATATTAGTTGTTAGTTTAGTTAGTAAAGTCGCAGCTACAAAGCAAGACCACGCTAGAGGTGGCTGGGTCTGATTTCCGGTCCGGTCTAGGATTTTTTCGGGTTGTACTTGCCACACAATTCTAGATAGAGCTGGAATTAAGGCGTAACAGCTTTTGTAAACAATTACTTCTATCGATGATTTCTAGGAATTCAAGGCACGTCCACGCAGACCAACCTAACCATCGGATAGGGGAAGTCTTTCCCTGCCGACGAGGATGTTGGTTAGCGTTTGCCTTGAATTTCTAGAAATCGTCAAGAGAAGTCATTGTTTACAAAAGCTGTTAGGCCCTAATTCCAGCTCTATCTAATGCAAAAATTGTACAGGCATCGAAATCCCTCAATTAATAACTGTGGAATTGCATCCAGAACACTAAGTTGAGAGCACGCAGCAAGCTAATATACGATAAGAAATAAGCTTGAAAAATTAAGAAGAAGTAGAAGAAGAGATACGAGATTCTTTGACGATGAGTCTGATGAAGATTGATGAAAAAGGTGCCCAAGATTTCAATTGCGAGTCTCATGCATTTTTAGTATAGTTTTGGAAATCTCTGAGACCATGCCTAATGAAGCGACAGAGCATATCAATTGAATAAAAGAAGAGAATTCAACATTTTTTTGTTATAGTCACTTTAACACATTTCAGGATACTTTTTCGGGATGAGTTTTGAACTCAAGATCTTTAAAGACTACGCCGGATCCGACCCCCTACAGAACCCTATTGAAAGCTTGATCTTTCGTGCCGATTAAATAAAATTCATGATTGTTTGCTGTGTATAATTGCCTTTAGGTCGCTAATCCTAGAGATTTAAATGACGTTACCTGGAAACCCTTCGGGCTTATAACATAAAAAACAACTTACTAAATCGTTCGGTAAGCTTGAAAATCCATCAAAAAAGCCTGTTTGTTCGGTAGCCATTTCGTTTACCGAACGAACAAGTCTAGAGAAACGTTGAGAAATTTCCTAAATTTTAAAGAAAAAAAAACTCAGCTATATTCAGAGAATCGCAATGAACTAACCTGTAGTCTAAGAGACAAACTTAAAAGACGTAGCAGTTCAGGGTGACCAGCCATGTAGAAAAATACCCAACAAGGGGGTTTACTTTTAATGAAGCACCAACTATGCACCCCCTTCCCCTTGTAGCGTATTTTTATACATGGCTGGTACCCTAAAATGCTACGTCATTTATGCATCTTCCCAAAGCAAAAATTCAGAGTGCAATTATGTATTGATAAATATCGAATAAAGCCATTTTGACAAATTAGGCCAAATTCCAGCAAAAATTTCAATGATTGCCCAACGCGAACTCTTCAAAACGGACAATTTAAAAAACCTCATCAGATGGTGTAAACAAAACTTCTTGTGGCATCGGAAAGAGGTGTGAGGTGATGGTGTACCCGAATTGCATAGGTGAGCTCCGATTCACTGGAAAAGGCCGCAAGAATATTTTTTTTTTACAATAGCTGATGATGCCTTTTCCATTGTTGATCTTGAATTGTTTCATGGAAATCGGAGAGGGTAACATCTGATTGATTCGTCAGTTGGCGCTGCAAAATTTCATCGAAATAGAAGAGGGTCGAAGGGTCTGGAAATTTTACCTAGGGGAAACAATCCTATTGTTGCGGTACGTTAGAAGCCTATTGTTGTGTATGGAGGTCTCCATACACAACAATAGGCTTTTAACGCTTCTAACGGTATCGCTACAACAGGACTGTTTCCCCTAAGGGTTGATGCATATATTATGTCACACTCTAAGGGGGGAGGGGGGGGTCTAAGATTTTGTGACAATTAATGCATTAGGTATGGGAAAAACGTGACGATAGGGGGGAGGGGGTAAATTATTCCTCGATTTAGCGTGACATAATTAATGCATGGGCCCTAACTGAATGTGAATCTGGACAAAAAAAAATATTAAATTGTTCAACACTACTTACCGCTTTAAGGTCCGAAAGCTTCGTGGTAATAGAATATTTCAGTATGATGAGGACGCCGTTCGGCATGAAGAACGTCACTTCCGTCGACTCATCCGGGTTGGCCCAATAATCGTAATTGAACATTACTCCCATTTTGCTCCACTTAAAACTAGAACACTTTACCAGTGAACATCGATATTCTTTTCTAAATTAGCTTATTCGCTTGCGCGCTTTTTATTGTATCCACAGTTTCATAAACTCAACATTCACTAAATCACGACCACTCGTGCAGAGCACTGCAGCACAAACTGGGGAAAAACTTCTTCCACAATGCACCGCACTCTTCTCTTCCGGATCTTTTCGACTGGCGGGGCGGTAGGGTTTGCTGCTTTCTCGTTGTTATTGTCGTTGCTGCTGCCTCTATTATTTGCACATTCGTTACAAAAACAACCTGTTTACACACATTTCCACAACAAAACACCACTTTGTTTTTTTTTCTTGATTCGGACTAACGGTACCGAGGCAGGAACCTCTTTTTTATCTTTACCATGTGCGACTGTCACTATCGCTTCTTGTTGTTGGTATTGATTAGTTGATACAGTTCTGCCAGTTTCTGTTGAACTTCATCGTCTCCGAGAGACCTATTGTTTCATTCTCTCGGTTCAACGACATTCGTGTTGACGAACTGCCCGGATATTGTGACCACACTGCAACCGCAGCATGGTGGATAGATAACTGTAAAAATAACGGAGAAAGGGAATTGTTAGTGATTGTTTGTTTCAGTATGTAGGTAGTTTGTTGATAACGTGGAAATTTTGGAAGTATTCTGTTGTTGATACTATTGAAGTTTATGCAATGTGGCTGTAAGCAAGACATGTTTATATTGCACAGATGAAAGACATGTTTAATTCAAAAACGTTGTCACACCTCTTATTTGTCTATTATTGTTACTAAGTTTTTCTCACAGGCTGAAAATAATTGAGCTTTCACGATGGGACTCCATTGAAATTTGTAATACTTACTATGATAATATTTATCCTTATTACATAAAGTTTGAACACAATATTTTAAAGCATATAGCATCTATATTATCACATTATACATATTATTTTATACAAGGCCACTGAGAATAACTCGGAGAGAGAGTTACTTCTACTCAGTTGTATGAGAAATTTCTAAAAACTGCAGGTACGCAGCGCTGAGTTCCTGCAGTTTTTAAACATTTCTCCATACCTCTGAGTACAAGTGAGAATATGTGTCCCATTTCATTTTGAGTTAGCACAAATAAGTAATTAGTTGGTTGAATAGTAAAACAATAGCAAATTCAGTCAAATGAAACTTTTCAAATGCACTTTGATATTTATTGAAACAAATAAGAAGTAGATAAGTACATATATTAATAAGATTTGTCACAAATTTCAAATTTCCGTTAAATCACTCATCACTAGATTCATCCAACCTATGCAACCGTTCTTACTTTTGCTCGTACGTCACCAACAATGACAAGGTAGTTATTTTCACTATGCCGAAAATCCGTGGTAATGAAGCTCCGCTACCTTCTAGTCACGACGTTGATTGTACGACCGTCAACCGCTCAGCTTTTTAGTAGTTACATATAGCACGATTGATGGACAGTTCAATACTGCTACTACTCGCGTCTGATTCAGCTCACGAAACCTTTCCGGGGGCCGTGGCGGTGTAGAGGTATTTACTTCGAAATGAACACTAAACATATTCGGTCATAGTCGTGGCGGTTTTTACGTATTATTCCCATCGATAGTATACCGTCAGTTGAAGCCGATGATGGTGATGGCAATGATGACGATGATGATGTTAATGATGACTTGGTAGATGCTTGCCAAATAGATGCGCCGCGAAGGAACGGGTTTTGTTTGTTGTTTACTCATCATGATGTTTTTGAACTAACCCACGGCGCGGAGATGTTTGCTCTCTGGGAATCAGTCACTATAAATAAGCTCGTTTATATGAGTATTTTTTGCGCTTACGTTGAACCTGCTCGTGTCGACGTGACGTGCCCCTCCGCAAAATATTCCAGATCAATGTCACAGATCAATAAAGTGTGTTACTACAACCTACTTCTTCGATTGGTCTATGAAAGAATACTTTTGAGTCATTTGAACAAATCTACTTATCTGTTGACACGTTCATTTCCAATCAACTTTTTTTAAAGGGCAGTTTCTTAAAATAAATTTGGTAACTTATTTCGATTTAACCATTTAAACCATTATTTTCCGACAAACATTTGAAAAAATGACATTACAAGCCATTGTTTACCAAAGTATTTACGTCATGCTCTAGAGATAACAAAATATCAATCCAAAATCCCAAGACTTTGTTTGCTCAGTATGCGTTTCTGAAATTGCTTAACCTTTTCGTTGACAGGTGAAACAGTCGTAAGCATTTCACGTCATTCCGTGGTTGATCATACATATCATATACCTACAATGAATGGTTTGCACAAAAATAGGTACTTTTCCGTTTTACGTCATTGCAACCATTTTTCGCGCCTGATTATCAGCTAGCGATGGCGACGGTAATGTTACTGCAATATTGGCACCCATCCGACAGAAATACCCCGTCTAAATTCCTGAACGGAGTAATGGAAACACTGACACTGGTAGATATATAACGTTTTATGAATGAATGAACTAATCCGGCGTTTGTGTAGAGTATTACTCGTTGCCGTTCGGGACTGTTTTACGATGAATCAGTGAAAAAAGAACCGTACACCAACACTATCAACAGATACAACGTGTCCAACCCTAAAACTTACTCAATCGATAATCATCAGTTGCTGCTGATCGGACATTGAACGTCGCCTGATAAGGATTGAAAATGGCATTGATGAGGACATATGCCTTTTCCAAAAACAAAATAAATCATTACCTATCGATACGATTTTATGAGGGTTCTGTAAATCATGATTTGCACTTGTAGAATGCTTTAAAACTTCGATAAAACTTGCAATATTAGTAGGGTATTAGGGTAGGCAGATGCAAATTTTGGCATTTGCGCTCCACAGTGCTCGAACGGATGCAAATCGGATCCCTACCCGAGCAAAGTCGGTAACAAAATGAAAGCAAATCGATATTAAAGTGTGCAGTTCCTATCATAATGAAAACTCATTTTGATTTCAAATGTTGCGACATAAGTCTGATATCATATTGTGCTTTCATTATGCAATCAAGACTTTTTAAATGAAAGCAACTTAACTTGAAGTTCTGCTGTTTACGTCTTGTTTAAAATTTAATTGAAATTCATCTGGCGATTATTGTTTATTTGATTTGTTTAACACATTTCAGGTCATTCGTGACTTGCCCGGGGTGAGATTGGAGCCCAAGTCTTTCAGCTTGAGAAACATGAATGGTAAATGGTAAATGAACCATTTACTCCAGGCCCGTATTCAGTAGAACATTATGAATGCAAAATCAGTAATCAAATTGATTTCATTGAAAGCAGGATTAGTTTTCCGTTTGCTTCAACAGTGTAAAATTTTGCTCTAATTTTTGCTGTGTTAACCGTTAAGTCAACCAAAATGAGATCAACTGGAGTATTCAAAATAAGTTACATCATAACAGCAAATTTTGATTTCAATTTGATCTTCAGCTTTGCTCGGGTAGCGTCCCTATTTCCCTCACTTTGCGCAAACCATTTTAAGTGTGTATGGAATTTACTATGGGAAAACCAAACTTTTTGTTCAGTTGACATCTAGCCTTTTCCATATTGCTCTGAGAAAAAGTTCGATAGCTATTCTTGTAGGAAATTCTACCAGCTGCAACATTGCTCAAGACCATTTTTCAGCCAAACGTCAATGGAAATAAGTAATGCGAGGATTTCTCACTCTTCTTTTTATTACTTTCCCACACAACCAGAATGCGGTACGTTAGAAGCGTTAGAAGCCTATAGTTGTATATGGAGATCTCCATACACAACAATAGGCTCCTAACGCTTCTAACGTATCGCAACAATGGTTGGTTTCCCCTACATAGAACATTCTTTATACCTACAAAAGTTAGTTGTAAGCGATTCAATTTGACATCATATACGACCTAATCTCTTAGAAGTTATTAATAACAAATTCAGTTTGACAAGTCTTACGAGTTTATGAAAATTTATTTGTACTCTTGTAACGTAAAGGTCTTCAATCCCAATCGGCGCCGCCGGGATTTTCTAAGGCATAAAATCTCTGATCACGCTTTCCTTCGGAAGGGAAGTAAAGCAGTTGGTCCCCGGTCCATGAGTTGATGGGTTGATATGTAATGTCCAGGTGTGGGAGCTGCCTCTCTGTCGTCGGTAGAATTGGTACTCTGTACGGAAAACAAATCAAGATAAAAAAAAGTAAGGTCTCCGCTCATGCTTCCTTCACCACTCACTGCATACGTATTATCATTATTTACCTACAATTCCAACAAATGTCAATAGTATAATTACAATTAATACCACTAGTATCATTGATCATCATTTGCTTTAATGGGCAAGTTTAGAGAAATTTTATGAAAATAATTATACAGTGAGCGGTAAAGAGAGACGAGACTACGTGTGCGGTGGATGACGACCTTACGGTACGATGATATATCGTATTAAAAGTTTGCATTACATGCACGCACCATCTAGCCTTGAAAAAGGTCAGCAACAACCATTCAATTACAATCGAGGGGTGCGAATAAAGCACTTATTACAAATATGAAGACATTTTTAATAATTACATTTTGTATATTACATGAAAATTTGTCTGAAGTGTCGCTGTTGCGGTTAATGCAGTCACCGGGCGGTCCCTTGTTTCAGCGTGAGAGTATGCGTGAACGAGAAGAATATGTAGGATAAATGCAGTGCAACATTATCTATTATCACGTAAATATTATACTGCAGTAAAATTAGCACCTTTTATTTGATTTATATTCTTCTTTCTAGACTGGATAAGAGAAAATTAAATTCTTAAAATTAATTGGTGCATTGTGTAAGGAGACTAAATGTAAGAAAACATGAATTTTTATTGTTGCTATCCTAGTTACTAAACTTAAAAAAATTACAGCTTTGAGCTATACTGCCGTTATACGCATAAGAGTCCCACGGTGCATAAGGATTGCATAGAACATGGGACAGTTATGCGAATAGCAGCAGTATATTGATCAGGAACACAGACGAGTTGCTTCGAAGACCTCCGAAATCATTTCAACATAATCTCAAAGATTTATAGAGTACCGAGAATGGAGAAATCGTTTGTCCGTCAGACTCGTTCCAAGACCAAGGCTGCCAAACAGTCTAATCTCTTCGGTCTAATCTTAGTACTTCTGAACACGATCTGGACCTGACAGAGGATGGATTTACGCCTTCGGTGATCGATTTTTAGCACGGACAAAATCTCGACTGTGCGATATGTGATCAACCCAACAATGCAGAATTGTATATGGTCCAATGCGGAGGATGCAAACGTTGGAACCATTTTTCGTGCGCGAGGGTGGATACGAATACTGTACATTCGAAGGAGTTTTGCTGTGAAGAGTGTTCGTCGAAGGGAGTACCAGAGCAATCAGCTAGGTCGGGATCTGGTTGATCGAGTGCTACAAGCGGTCGTTGGTCCCACATTGACCGTGAAATCCAACGTCTGGAGGACGAGAGGCGAGCTGAAGAGCAGGTAGAACAATATACAACATACAACATACCGGTGCCGTCGGTGGTAGTGAGAAAGAAAACATTCCAAAATCGGTCGAACC